GCGGAGGTCTCTGTTCAAAGTCAATCCAGGCAGGAAAATCTATGAGACTCTTATCTTCAATTAACCACCAAAAAGCTTGAAGTGGAGTTGTGGCTCAAGTGGTAGAGCACTAGCCTTGAGCACAAAAGCTTAGGGACAGTGCCTAGGCCCTGAGTGAACCACCCTCCCCCCCCAGCACACAAACACACACACACACACACACACACACACACACACACAATCAAGATGTATGTTGTATATAGTCTTCTCCGCCTCAGTTTTAACTTCACTACGTAGAATAAGCCTTTACACTGGTGGGTTTTTTTTCATAATTTTTTTTCTACTCATCTTTCTTCTTACTGATAACTTCTGAGCAATTTCATCCTTCACTAACAATGCAGGAATTAGGTTGATAGGACAGATAAAAAAGATGTAAAAATGGTAATACCAAGCTTTACTTTCACATAGGAAAACGTTCCCCATTATACAGTTGACTAAAGAAAAATGAATGGCACTGTCATTCATGTACTTATGAGGCCTGGGTTATGGCAGGCATTTAAAATTTTTTTTATTGTTATTATAAATGTGATAGACAAAGGGACTATAGTTACAGCAGTCAGGAAAGAGTACACTTCTTTTTGAACAATGTCACCCATTCCCCCACTCTCTCTGTTCCCCTGCCCCCCATCTCTACCCGTAAGTTGTATAGTTTATTTTCAGCCTAGTGTCTAATGAGTACCACTGGTGCATTTGTTCACCCTTTGTCCTTCCATTTCTGGCCCCCACTTAACTCCCCAAAGACAGATAAGTGAACAAAGAGAAGAAAACAAAACAACAAAGAAAAAAAAGCCCTTATTTCCATTTCCTGGAGTTCAATAAACACTATTTTATATGATCAGATGCATCTAGGCATTGTGCCTTTGTGTTCCTCTCCTGAGTATTCCCTTGGGTCTCACTGTGTGTGAATGCAGTCATTTTTGTGATACTTGGAGGATGGAGCTTGTAAAATAAAGAGGGGGACCAAGGCCACAGCAGGGAGCAGAGCTCTAGGCCTTGCTTTTGCTATTCCAGGCTTGATCTGTTAGCTAAATAAGTATTTTGTTTTCTTTCTTTTTTTTTCTTCTTTCTTTTGGTCGGTCGTGGAGCCTGAACTCTGGGCCTGGGTGCTGTCCATCAGCTCTTCAGTTCAAGGCTAGTGCTCTTACCACTTGAACCATAGTGCCATTTCTGGCTTTTTCTGCTTATGTGGTGCTGAGGAATCAAACCCAGGGCCTCATGCATGCAAGGCAAGCACTCTACCACTGAGCCACCTTCCTAGCACCAGTATTTTGTTTTCTAAGTAATTTTTGCGCTCTTGCTTGGCTTTTCTGTTCAAGGCTGGTGTCCTACCACTTGAGCCATACATCCACTTTTAGCTTTTTGGTGGTTAACTGGAGATGAGTCTCTGGGATTTATCTGCCGGGGCTGACTTTAAACCATGATCCTCAGAGATCATAGCCTCTTGAGTAGCTAGGATTACAGGTCTGAGCTACCAGCACCTGACTTGACATATTTTTCTGATCATAAAAAACAAAACACATTCATTGCACAGAGCAAAGAAACTGAAAGACACAAAAAAGATTAAAACCCTCTATAATCCTATTGTCCCTGGAGAATTGCCATGGATGATGTTAATGTATACAAATTTACAAATATATTTTACATGTATATAAGGCAATACAAACAACCCAAATAGATGAATATCTTGAAGTATGTATTAATTAATAACCTGGGTCAACTGTTGGTTTAGAATCACTAACAATGTTTTTCTCTCCAAATACCAGAACAGATCATCAAAAATTTTAAGTTTATAAAGCATAATGCATTCTAACGTATAATCTAATAATGTCGCATAATGTCCATAAAGGCAAGCATTTATTAACAGGTTCATGTGGTTCCCTTTCATTAAGCATTCCTTATCCATAAGTTGTACTCTTTCAGTGACTTCTTTGGCCCAACTAGATTTTGCTATAATTTTTTTTTTTTTTTGTTTAATCGATGAAAGTGAAACAGCTGTCTTACATGGGTTTTGACAGTATGCACATGAAACTCTTCATGTTCACCATGTTGCTGGGGAAAGCTGGGGAACACTCCAGGAGCTGGGCCTTCTTAGACCAATCTCTTCGGTTCTAAATGCTATCTAATTTTCATTATGATTTTCTTTTTTTTGTTTTTGTTTTTGGGTCCGGTCGTGGGGCCTGAACTCTGGGCCTAGACGCCGTCGCTCAGCTCTTCAGCTCAAGGCTAGCGCTCTACCACTTGAGCCACAGCACCACTTCCGGCTTTTTTCTTATGTGGTGCTGAGGAATCAAACCCAGGGCCTCATGCATGCAAGGCAAGCACTCTACCACTGAGCCACTTTCCCAGCCCCTTCATTATGATTTTCTGACCCATGAGTTGATTCAAATTGAGATATGGAGCTTACTAGCTATCATGTATCAGTTTCTAACTTAGCTACCACGTAGTGGTCAGAGAATGTGGTTGCTATGATACTAATCTTTAGATATGTAGAGACTTGCTTTAGGGCTCAAGATGCTTGATTTTTGTAGGTATTTCACTTATTTTTTGTAAGGAATGCATATGCTGCAGCATTGAAGCAATCTTCTGTACTTACTTAACTTGGTAATTCTTGTTTTTCAACCCTAGTCCCTTAAAGACTTAAAAAAAATCCCTTTGATCAATGTATGAGTTCCTGCTGTAACAAATTATCATGGGCGACTGGCCTAAAACAATGGAAATATGTATTCTCTTACAAGTTTCAGAAGTTAGAAGTCTGAAATGTTGTCCAGAGGTTCCGCCTTTTCCAGTGTAGTATGACTGTCCACATTCCTTAACTTGTTGCCACATCACTCTGATCTGTTTTTATGGTTGCATTATGTTTTCCTCTTCATTATGTTCTGTCTCAGATCTCCTTTTTTAAAATAAATTTAAACAAGGACATTTGTCATTGGATTTATGGTCCACTTGAAAAGTCTTAGGTGACTGTCTCATCTTTGTATCTTCTACTACATGTACAAAGACTCTTTTTCCAAGTAATGGTCACATTCATAGCTCTAGGGATTAGGGCATGGGAGACCATGTCTAACTCATTGCAATCAATAAGATATGTGTATGTGACAAATCACCAAAGTTTTTGCTTCCTGCATTTTGTATTACATTTTTAGGTAGTCTACCTAGAGTATTTTGGTAATAAATTATCAATTGTCTGACAAAAAAATTGTCTTCTTTCCATCTTTTTTGATGGACTTGGGATTCTAAGGTTATATATACTTTCCCCTTTATTAGTTCATGTAATTATTTTAGGTAAAAATAAAATTTGTATTCCCAAACATCCTAGAGTTGAAAATTAAAGTTAAGTGTGCTGATTAAAAAACAAAAACAAAAACTTCTTATTATGGGGTATCATTGTCTGAAGTTAAAATTATTCCAAGTGACTAGTAAAATGTCCACAGAACAATTGCGAAAATATGTAAGAGAAATAGAAATAAATATGGGTACTGAAGTCAATCAGAAGTTAACAATTTCCCAGTGCCTGAAAACATTTTTTCCTTTATGCTAATTACTGTTTATTTATTGTCAGTCATAAGGCTTGAACTCTGGACCTGGGCATTGTCCCTGAGCTCTTCGGCTCAAGGCTAGCACTCTACCACTTTGAGCCACAATGCCACTTCTAGTTTTGAGGTGGTTAATTGGAGATAAGAATCTCACAGACCCTTTCCCTGCCTGGGCTGGCTTTGAACTGCAATCTTCAGATCTCAGCCTCCTGAGTAGCTAGGATTACAGGCGTGAGCCACTGGTGCCTGGCTTAATTACTTATGGGAATAAAAGTTCATTATCTGCTAGGTGCTGGTGGCTCATGTCTGTGAATAGCAACTCAGGAGGCTTAGATGGCAGAAAAGTCTGTGAGATTCTTATTCCCAGTTAACCAGCAAAAAGCTAGAAGTGGAGATATGGCTCAAGTGGTAGAGTGCCAGCCTTGAGTGAAAAGCTAAGCCCTAGTTCTGGCACACATACACACAATTCATTATCACCTTACTTAAATGAACAGTTTTTCTAGACAAATTCATCACTGTTAGCCAGATTGAGTTCCAAAGAAACAAAAACTATTAGAACACATTCGATTACATGATTGCTAGAACTTAAGAATGTAAATTTCTCTGAGGAATAAAAAGAACTAGAATGACTTCTTTTTATCCTAGGCGCCCCCCCCCCCCCACACCTTCAACTTGTTGGCAGATTTTGAAATTGTTGGCAGCTTGACTTAAGCATGTCAAATAGTTAAACTTAAGAAAATATCCACAGGAGGCAGAGGCCGTAGTTCCGTTGCAAAAGCGCTGGCTTAGCATAGGCACGGCCTGCGTTCAATCTCCAGGAACGTTTAAAAGAAATCCCAAGAATATCTCAGACGTATTCATCTTTTTCGGCTAACCTGTTATTATTCCAAGAGCGGAGGAACGGACCACCAGCAGTTAGTGGAGGGCGATCGACCCACTTATAATCTGCCACCCCCAGGCCTTCTGCGGGCCCCATGCCTGGCAAGGCGAAGGCCGGGGCAGTGAGGTGTCCCGAGACTCCGGGACACTGCGATCTGTGGGGGGCGGGTAAAAAAAATCAAGTCCCGAGAGACAACCCGGATCACAGCATCCTCTGTCCGGCTTTAGCGCCATCCTCAGGCACCGCCCAGCGCCTGCCCAGCTCCCCGTCGTCATAGTAACCTGCGTGCGCAGCCCAAACTCCCTTATCACGTGAGGCTGGGAGGGGCGGGGCAGGCACGCGTCGCTCCACCCCTCTCAGCATCTGGCCAGCGGAGGCGGGGCGAACCTCTGCCCTTAGGAGCAGAGGGCGGATCACAACTCCCGCCCCCTTTTCTCGGAGCCTCTCCGGGCGCTCCCTTCGTACCACGTGCTTCCCTGGCCGGGCCCCTCAGCACCCTTTTCAACCGCTTGCTGGGAACTGCCGTAAAGTGTCGTGACGTGACCTGCCGCTTTCCGGCCGTCTCTCAGAACGAGATCCCGGGAGCACCCTCCTCAGTCAGCTGTGTCTGTCGGACAGCCGGCCGGACAGGAGTCGGAAGCTCGGCGCGCCGCCGCCCTCCTCGCCGCGTCCGTCCCGGGCCTCGGCGATGTGAGCCCGAGGAGGCCGCGGTGCCCCCCTGGCCCGGGGGTTGAGGCGGTGAGCAGGTGCCTGCCCGTGAGGCGGGCGGGCGCCGGGAGCCGGCAGGATGGAGGAATGCATGGAAGAGGAGGAGGCGCTCACCTACGAGGCGATGATGGACGACCAGAACCACAACAACTGGGAGGCCGCGGTGGACGGCTTCCGGCCGCCCCCGGCGCCCCCCTTGTCGGCCTCGGTCGGGGCCCGGGAGCCCCCGGGGGGCCAGCTGCTGGCGGTGCCCGCGCTCTCGGTGGACAGGAAAGGCCCCAAGGAGGGGCCGCCGGGGCCTCCGCCGCCGCCGCCGCCACCGCCGCCGCCGCCGCCGCCGCTGCCGGAGACCAACGGGGTGATCATGATGCTGAAGAGCTGCGACGCGGCGGCCGCCGCCGTCAAGGCCGCCCCGGCCCCCGCCCCCAGCTCCGCCATCAACATCAACACCTCCACCTCCAAGTTCCGTGAGTCCCGCCGCCCCGGCCCCCTTCGCGGGCCCCTCCCCGCTCGGAGCTAGCCCCGCCGCCTTTGTTTTCAGGCCCGGGGCTCTCCCTTCGCTTCTCTCCCGCTCCTTCCCTCCCGCCGTCGCCGCTCCCGCTTCTCCCCGCCCCTCCCCTCCCCCTCGCTCGGTGTCGGCGGCCAGCGCCCGAGCGGCCCAGGCTTCTTGGGTTACCTGGCCCCGGGAAGCAGCCTGGTACGCACGCCGCCCCGAGCGCCTCCACCCGCCCGATCCTTATCGCCACTGGCTGTTTCTCAGCCCCAGGAAGTTCTTTTCTCGTCTGTCCCCCACTGAGTTCTCACTCGCCCAGGGTGAGGGGAAAATAAAGACTTGAGTTTCTCTACGGGAGAAACCGTTTGTGTTTTTACGTCTTTGTATGTTTGCAGCCAGAGGGGGAGGGGTGGGTGGGAAGGAATTTGGCGATTGGTGTTCCTGTGCCTTTTAGTCTAGTGAAACAAGTCAAGAATCGGAAAGTTGGCGTGTTCTTTTCACCTCCGTATACTTTTGCCTCCCGTAAGGGAAATGTGATTTGTTTCCTCGTGCAGCGGTAGCTGCGACAGCCTTTTTGTTTAAAGTCACTTTTCAGACAAGCGCGCTCAGCATGTGTCCAAACACGAGCCTGTTGCGTGTTGAACTTTTTTTTTGCTAGTGATCTGCCCCATTCAGTGGCAAGCTGAAAGATTTTAGGCCAAAAGGAATCCAAACAGTCCCCAGCCAGGATGTATATTTACTTCTATAGCTAGGGAGAAAAATGTGTTTTTGCTTTGCTCACTTTCTTGGTGTGGTGTAGCTGTGGTGTTTTTACAGGTTCTGGAAAATAAGGGATAGGGTGAGAATGAGCAAAATCTTGGTCCTAAAACTGGATAAATAATAACGAACAAATAACAAATAAAAATGGATAAGAAGACACTAGATATCTTTTTCACTTATTAGAGGGTTTTCTCCTGTTAATTCATTCCAAGTTTAAAATGGCATTAGTAAAGTAACTGGATATTTCACTTCTAGTCAATTTTACCATGTTGTACTGTTACTAGTCTGCTTAGATATGCCCAGATACAGATAACTAGTCACATCCTTACACGTGTGTGTGTGTGTGTGTGAAAATAGCACAGAACCTTATTTGCCTGTAAATACTGCTCTAGCTAAAGATGATGTGTAGGTGTGCTTGGTAAGATTTGTATATGCTTCCCCCCCCATTATCTGTTCCGGAGAATAGAATTTATATGGTGTGGTTTGGCATTGTATTTATATTATGTATTGAGGGTTACATTGTGAAACTAGACCTTGTAAAAAGTGGCAGGGTGATTTATCTAAGTGGGGAAGCACCTGGCTTTAGAGCTCAAGTTCCTTTGATGATTTCACAGATCAGTGCACAGAGCAGAAATCAGTGAAGTTGAGAACAAGGGGAAGATTTACCAAACCAAAAGATTGTTCCTTGCAAAGGTGAATAAGCTAGGTGGCTTTTTGATAAGATTGAACAAGAAAAAGAAAGATGCAGAGATATTAAAAATGAAAAATGGAAAACCTATCAGATTTAAACACTTTAAATTACTGTTTGGCAATGAATTTGGAAACTTACATGAAAGTATAATTATTAGGAAATAGTTAACAGTGAAAGTATCAGAAGAAAGTTTAAACTGACATTTAATAAATTGAAGTAGTGATGTAAGACCTTACCTTTCAAAAACTTTGGATCCAAATGTCCTTGTAAGTGAACTCCTCAAACTTAAATACCACATAATTTTCTTTACAAGTTCTGAAAAATAAGAAGAAAAAAAGCCAAGTCATTTTATGGGCTAGTAAAATCTTGGTTCTAACACTAGAGAAGACTATAGGTCTGTTTCACTGAGTAGCATAGAAATAAGTCCTGTACTAGCTCATCAGATCCATTCATGTATTTTTTTTTAAAAAACCCATGATTAATACGCTTTGTCCTAGGAATGTTAACATGCCTCAGCATCTGTATGTCAATATTATTTATCTTACTAATTGAATAAAGAAAGACAGTTGTTGACATAAAACCATTTGATTAGATCCAGTATCTATTTATGATGAAAACCTATCAGCAAGCTAAGAGTACAAGATAAAGTTATTACCAAAAACCCTCAGCAAATAATGACAGGATAAAATGTCTTGGTGAGCAGGCGCCAGCGGCTCATGCCTGTAATCCTAGCTATTCAGGAGCCTTGATCTGAGCGAGCATTGAAGTTCCAAGCTAGGCTGAGCAGAAAAGTTTATCTCCAATACACTAAAAAAAAGTTGAAGGGGTGGGCTTAAGTGATAGAGCACTAGCCTTAAACACAAAGAGATTCAGGGATAGAGCTCAGGCCCTGAATTCAAATTCCAGAGCTGGCAAAAAAAAAAAAAAATGTCATGGAGACATTTTAGATACAGTCACTCCCAAGGTGGTAACAAGATTAGGATGGCCTCTCTGTTACTGTTTAAACAAGTTCCTGGCTAACAGTGTAAGAGGGAAAAAGGTATAAAGACAGGAAGGGAAGAAATAATGCTAAAAATTTACAGACACATGGCTACTTAACCAAGAACCATTGAACCAAGAAAGAAACTCTTAAACTAGTATGAACAACGTAAAAAGTTTAACAACAGGGCTGGGAAGGTGGTTCAGTGGTAGAGCAGTTGCCTTGCATGCATGAGGCCCTGGGTTCGATTCCTCAGCACCACATAAGCAAAAAGAAAAAAAGCTAGAAGTGGCGCTGTGGCTCAAGTGGTAGAGTGCTAGCCTTGAGCTGAAGAGCTGAGGGACAGGGACCAGGCCCAGAGTTCAGGCCCCACAACCGGACCCCCCCCCAAAAAAAAAAAAAGTTTAACAACAGCATCAAATTTATTTTAACAAACTTAGTAACCTAAATCTAAAATTTATATGGTAGGTAGAATGACGTTTGTGAGTCTTAATTTGTTTTGGGAATGGCTTGCTTTATTAGAAGTTAACATTTCATGTCTGTGGTATTAATGGGTATGAATGGAAGTACAAAAAACAAAGTTAAGGGCAAATTAGAGCAGGGAATTACTTACATCTGTTTGGGAACTTAAAGGTGATTCTGATCCCTGAAAACATCATAGGTAGAGTGGCTTACAAATATGACACTATAAACAGAATAGACTGAATGAACTAAAGACTTAACTTTGAAACAAAACAAAGTTAGCAGAAAAGGTTAAAAGTTTTTTCCATAGAAGACTTTCCCCATCTCACCTCCCCCATACTGAGGCCTGAACTCAGAATTTTGTGCTCCTGCTTGTTTATTCACTCATTCATAGCTAGTGTTTGACCCCTTGAGCCACACCTCCACTTCCGATTTTTAACTGTTTGGAGATGAGAGTAGGTAGCCATGAGATACTGACACCCAGTGGGAATAACTTCTTAAAGAGAAAAGCTTTAATTATATAAAATTTGATTTATAAAAATTAAGAATTTCCATTCATCAAAACAGATTGAAGAATGAAGGAAGGTATTTTATAGTGTTTAAACTGACCAGGAATTTTATTATTATTTTTTAATGCTGGATCTGAGGCATGTTGCTGTCCCTGAGCTTTTTTGCTCAAGGCGAGCACTCTTACCACTTGTCTCACAGCTCTCTTCTTCTGGCTTTTGTGTGGTTAATTGGAGATAAGAGTCTTAAAAGACTTTGCTGCTTGGGCGGCCTTCAAACCACAATCCTCAGAATCTCAGCCTCCTGAATATCAGTAGGATTACAGGTGTGAGCCTCTGGTACCTGGCTTCACCAGAAACTTTTGGCTAGAATAGAGGCCTACACAACAACAATAAAGGGACAGCAGCTTTTTTAGAAAAATAGGCAAAAAATAGTTTACCACAAAACAGTAAATTTATAACTAGATGTTATTAATTAGAGTCGTATGGATTAAAACTATTGGAATGACTTTTTTTGTTCTTGCCTGGGGCTTGAACTCAGGGCCTGGGCACTGTCTCTAAGCTGCGTTTGCTCAAGGCTGCCACTCTACCACTTGAACCATAGCGCCACTTCCCGCTTTTTATGTTTATGTGATACTGAGAATCGAACCCAGGACTTCGTGCATGCTAGGCAAGCACTCTACCACTCAGCCACATTCTCAGCCCCTGGAATATCTTTTTGTGTTTAGATTGATAATAATTATTATTATTAGAAAGCTGATTAGTGCTAGTGTAGGTGAGAATATGTAGAGATAAGAATCATTTGTTGGTGGGAATTGCAGGGCAGTGGATTGGAGTGTTGTTGAAATGCTCAAAGTCTGTGGAGCAGATAATGAAATAGAGCTAGAGTGCTGCTGCGTCCTGAGCCAAGACAGTAAAGGTATGTTCTAAGGTAAAGAAGCTTTTTGGTAGTCTGCTTTTGAGGGAGAGAAAACTTGTTGGATCTTAGTAACCAGATATATTTTTCTATATCTGGAACAGCAGCTATAATCAGTCACCACAAATACAATTTACGAACATCCAGTCATTCTCTTAAGACCTATGGTCTCTTTTCTTTGAAGCCGGTAGCATTCTTTGTAATTCTAGCTAGAGTTGTGCTATTCATTGCACTGGGTTTGATATTTTGGTAGAGACTTTTAGGGGGACTTCACTTGGTTCTCCTAAGTTACAGCCATGCTTCCATTGGTCAGGGAACTACTTCCTTTGTGTTCAGGAAAGTGGTAAATATTAAGGTGGGATCTTGGATTTTCTGGACTCACTGTGAGAGCGATTGGGGATAAAGCACCATTTATCATGAGATCCCGAAGCCTGTTATCTGACTGGTTTCCCTCAGTGACATTCTGGTCTCTAATAGTATCAGTTTAAGAGCCAGTGTTGGGTAATGATAAAAAAAAATCTCATTTCCCACTTTCTCAAATGAGCTATCTAGAGCTGCATGTTTTATTGGACAAGGCTAATAGGAAGACTTTTTATTGGTGGTACTGAGGTTTTAACTTATGGTCTTGTGCTTGTGCACTAGCACCCAAAGCCATGTCCCC